TGATCTGCCTTTGGGCTCCCTTCATCCTAGTACCCTCCCATTAGGTACCTAAGTATTGTGAGACTGTTCTGTTCCTGCCAGTCTTATTATGGTTAATTTTCACCCCCTCTCTCCTTCCCTGTCCAAACAACAACTATAAAATCAAGCTGACTAGTGTATGTGAACCATGTATTTGTTTCAATTTATGGTATAGCGTCAGACTTTCTCTTCATTGGTATTTAGTATGAAATTTTAGATTTCCAGCATTTTAGTTGGGAGGTTTTCTGAATTTTGCACTGTCAGGAACAGAACTTATTTGGTATCTTTGTTCAAGTCACATAGATTTCATAGCAGCCAGCTAGCGAGCTTGAGGACACCCTTGACTTTGGATACTCCTTAGTAGAGCCTTGGGCTCAGATTGTTAAGTGGGGAGAGCAGTCACCTTGCAGAGTGGAGAGGTACTGGTAATGGGGTCTATGTCATCCCTCCTTCCTCATCCATTTGGCTACCCTTGCCCTAGTCCCACAAAATTAGCCTTCTCCTCTGGCTTGATAAATTGTTTTGAATGCTGTGGTAAATGGATTATTCTTAAATGGAAGCCGAGTAAATCTGGTTTGTACTGTTTTGGACTGAAGACTTTAAAAGAAGCCAACAGGAGGGACTAAGATTATTTGGTTTGTCTTGTTTTCATGGTGTGCAGACAAGCCCTAAAGGAAAACAACATAGTTATCCTGAGAGCAAACACTTGTGTTTCTAAGAAAACTTGAAAATCTATGCTGATCCACACCTGAACAAAGGAATCTCCTTCCCTGCAAGTTAAGACAAAATTCTTGGAATCCTTATTTGGTCTTTAGTATCTGGAAGATAAGCATTTCTTATCACAGGGCTTAGGTGCTTGGGTGTGAGTTCACTTCTTTGGCAAAACAGACATGACTTGAGTCAAGTATGAGCTTGTGACACAGAAATGCCCCCTTACCATTAGAGGACTCACTCTCTAAGTGTTCCCCAAGCTGGATCTCAGACATAAGCAAGCCCAGAGCTCCAAATATTGACAGAAAGCTTGAATTCATACGAAAAACTGCTAAAAACTATGCTAAAAAGTAAGTTTCCCCTTCATGGCCCCACCTCCTCCCAACACACCCAAGAGGAGAGAGGAGTTTGGATTTAATTTGAGCAACACAAATTTCCCTTTTGGGGAGGTAGTTCCAGGTGGCTCTTGATAAGGACTTGGCTTCTTTGCTTCAGTTAGGACCTAAATTATGGCCTGGGCCAGTGCCTTGGGAATGTGATAATGTAGTCAGTCTCTGTCCAAATCTGCAAGGTATTGAGTTTACTCAGCAGGAAGCTCTATCTGCATTCCTGACACAAATAGATGCCCAACTTTGATCTTTTATTAACCTAATTAATCATTAAACAAGAGAGTTTAAACTCATTAAACTCTTTTTCTTAACTGTTTTTCAGTTTCTTCCTCTCTCCTTCCTTGATCCCTTTTTTCTTACCAAATCCAGTAAGAACTTTTGTGTTTATTTGTTTAATTGGTGCCATACCAGGAGGAGCAAAACTGTGAAACAGGAAGTTTGGATTCCAAAGCTCTCCCACCCCCTTCTTCCCCCTGGGTTATAATTTATGTTCCTTCTCACCTAAAGTAGACCAGGGCCTCCATGCTGACTCAGTTCTCCCAGTATCCCTTTCCCGACTTAAACCTCTTCCATGTATTTTTTCTCATATTATGTCTTTCTCCAAAGCATCCCTAAGGTTCATGAAAACTATTTCTTCTTTTGGTGCAAATCATCTTAGTTAAGTGAAGGGAATTTGTTTTGATTAGTTTGGGTGATAAGAGAATTAACAGCCTACCTCAGCATAAAGCTAAAAATGCCTAAAATCCCCTCTTCCCTTAACAGTTTAGTTACTGCTTCTAATTTGAGATGATGCTGTTGATTTATTGATGACATGTATGATTGAATGAATCCCAACATGATGGAAAAGATTATGGGCTGGAGTTTTGTAGAGTGTGTGATCTAAAAGCAATGGATTTCAAAATAGGAATTTCATCAGTCTGTAAATTATTTTCTCGGAGTTTACATATTGTGAAGAGATTGCTGATGTTTTCTATTTTTCCAAGAAAGATCTTATGAAAACAATTTTCATTAATTCATTGAACAAATATGTATTGAGCACCTATTATATTGAATTCTGTTGTAGATACAGGGGATAATGTGTTCAAGAAGAAAGACAAGCCTCTGATCCCGTGGGGCTCTACCGCTAAAGTGGGGGGTAGTAATATATAGGAACGCATGATAGTGGTGGATGCTAAGAAAGAAATGGAGCAAAGAAATGATATCAAGGTGACCCAGGAGGGAATTGATGAGTTGTAGGGGGAGACCAGTTAAGATCTCTAGTAAAGAGATTGAAGATAGTAATATAAAAAGGTTGCAGGACTTCAAACATCTGGGAGAAATACAATCCTGGTGGTGGGAATAGCAAGTGTGAAGCCCCAAGGTTGAATTAAGCAAGGTATGACTGAGAAACATAAAAGGCCAGTGGACTGGAGTGTGACAAAACAAGAATGTTGTTAGATAAAGTGAGAAATGAAGGTCAGGTTGCATTTGGCCTTATAGGTCATGCTAGAGAGTTCGATTCTAGTTCTCACTGAAGTAGAAAACCTGAGCATTTGGGGTGATTCCCCAGAGAATCTGATTTGCATGATGTGATTGATCACTTAAATGCTGGTAGAGAATTGACAGAGGAGGGACAAATTGAAAGTTAGTCTTGGAGTAAAAATGATACTTGAAGAAAGAAAGGCAAGGAAGCCATTGATATTACCATCATTTAATGAAAGAATGGATATATATTTTCTCCCTAGTTTTATTAAAATATGATTAAAACATTTTAAGTTTAAATTTAAAGTACATATAAGGTAGATAGCATAATGACTTGACTTACATATATTGTGAAATTACTGCCACAGGAAGCTAGTCAACATCCATCATCTCACAGTTACAAAACAAAAGAAGAAAAAAAACCATTCATGCTGTGAGCTCTAGAATTTATTCTTTTTATGACTTTCACTATACCATGTGACAGGGTAAATATTTGTAGTGTTGTACGGTTATGCTCACTTAACGTTTGGTCAGTGATAGACCACATATACAACAGGAGTCTTTGTGTGATTGCATTCTAGGATGGTCACACAGCACCAAAATCTTCAAAGGCTGCATTACTCAGAGCACATCCCAATGGTTAAATGACCTATGACTGCATATATGTATTTATCTTATAACTGTAAGATTGGATCCTTGAACCTCCTTCATTCAGTACCCTTACTATCCCCATTCCTGCTTCTGGTAACCACAACTGTGATCTCTTTTTTTGTGAGTTTGGTTGTTTTGTTTATAGTCTACATATGAGTAAAAGTGTACATTATTTTTCTTTTCTTTGAATCATTTTGGTTAGCATAATGACTAGCATCCATCCATTTTGTCACAAATGGAAAGATTTACTTCTTTTTAATGGCTGAATAATATTCGTGTGTGTGTGTGAGTGTGTGTGTGTGTGTGTACACACATCACAAGTTCTTTATCCACTAATGGACATGACACTTAGGTTGTTTCCATACTTGGCTATTGAAAATAATGTTGCTATGAAAGGAGGGGGGTGTGCACAGATATCTTTTTGGCATAGTTTTTCATTTAAGATTGGATGTATTAAAATTCTAAGTCAACAGGAAAGAACAGTTATTTGCAAGAAAGAAAAATTGAAGAACTTCCCCTGACATAGCAGAAGCAGATATAGGTATAGTTTTCTGCTTTTAAATGAAAACTATAACAAAGTCTCATTTCATAATAAGTCTTATTTCATAAAAGTTTTATTTGCATGTAATTGTATTTCTGAAACATGTTGCTCAATTTAGCTCTCTATTTCAACAGTTCAGCAGGACAAGGAACCCAAATATATATATATATTTTTCCCAATCAGGCTCAGTTTGAATTCAGTATGTTGAAAAAACTGAAAGCAAGTCTCTTAATTCATTCAATTCAAAATACTCTGGGGAAGGTGAGGGAAGCTAAAAGAATGGCAGTGGTCCCTGAGTCTGGAGAAAGTGGTCTGCAAGCTTCCTGGGTGTTCAGAGCAACATTCCCCAGGGGCTGTGGGGATAAGACCTGACACAGGGCAGTTAATGGGCTCAGATCTGGCTGGGGAAAATCATCTTCCTGAACATGGTGTCTGGCCTGGCTGTAGGTCCTGAGGACTGAGTGCTTCAGTTCAGTTTTCCATGCCCTCTGAGAGTTGGCTTATCAGTGGACTGAGAGATGGAGACCTCCTTTGCTCTCTTTTACTCCAAAGGGAATTTGGGGTTGGTGAAAGTGATGCGGCAGAATATCTTGAGCATCACTGATGACGTTCTACAGGGTAGCACCTGGCTAAAGGGTGGCAGGAAGTGCCCATGGTACAATGTTGCCAGTCAACAGCATCCACAGTTAAAGCTTATGTCTAGAACTCTTAAAATTACATCAATGTGGACTTTCCTGAAAATCTAATACATTTTACATGGATATGAAATAAAGACATTTTTAACCAAGAGCCCTTATTCAGACATTCAGATATTTTAAAGCTCAATAAAACATTGGAAGTTAGATTATATACTTTTAGCAATACAAGAAATAACTTATAGCACCATATGGTCATACATATCCACCACAGGCCATTTACTTGCCTCTTATGAGGTGCTGGATAAAGTGAATTTAATTAAATCAATTTCTGTACTTTTAATGCCGTGGAAATACCAAATGCCACTACTAATTAGTGATGTGTGGTGTTTTGATTACCCCATTAATCATTTCCTTTATAAAAATGAATGCCTCAATCCTAGTGAATTTGGCTTTATATTATTTGTTTCAGAAATAAATTTTTGCAGGCCCACTTTATTAGTAATGACCTAGGACTTTCTTAGCTGTCTGAAATATAATTAACTACCTTGTTTCTGAGGTATGATTTCTTTCTGTCTTTCTTTTTTTAAAGCTATGCCAAGATAAGTGCTATGCCAACTTGGACTTTAATATCTTTCCACATTGGAACATCAAAGTTAGCTCTGGTTAATTACTTCCACAACTACAAAAATATTTCCCTTCCTTAAAACTCATCAGAAAGTCATAATAGAGAAATATAGCCAGGTAAGTAAATAAGGGTGTGTTGCTACCGAAGATCTTTGGCTGATAGTTTACACTGCTGTTCAGTTATTGTTGGGGGGAACCTATGGTTCTTCTTTAATCTTGCAGCCACCCTGTCTCTACAAACTAATGGGAAATAAGTTTTCTCTATCAGTTTCTGAATGATTCTAGTCTTCCACCGTCCTCACTTACCATCCAAGGTCCTTTCTCATCTTCTCTCCATCTCTATCTAGATGACAAGACTCCAGAGCCCACTTCTTATGAGTACATTCTGGATGAATCCTACTTCAGTATCGTTAGCAGACTTTGTGTGCACACAGTACTAGTCTTTGACAAAATTGCAAATGAATCATTCTTTCTTTAGCACCAGGGCCTCCTACTCACCCTTGTCTTTTCTGTCTTGCCTACTATCCATCCATTAACATTAACTTTCTGGATTGAATCCTAACTAAATGCACACAGTTGATAAATTTGAAAGGTAAATTTGAAAAATTTAATGCATCCCTGATGACACTGTACAAACTACAATGAATACTGACAGGATGGCAGCCCCAGGAAGAACATAAAGCATTTCACAGTCTCAGTCCTTAAGTTGAATCTTGAGAGATCATGAAAGACCAGTTAGGAAACTAGAAGTAGTTAGACTAGGGCAGTTTATCAAAGAGAAGGCTGTAGGAAGACAGAAGTTTGCAGAGGTGGGTAAAAGTGAGTCCTCTCTTGCATGCTGAGGAGTTAAAGTATACTTCATGGCCAATGGAAGCTGATGGAAGTAGAAAGAAAAGGAGGAGGTCTTACAAGTGCCTGTATGGAACCCTGAATTGAAAACCAGTGTGGAGGGTTAATTCACAGTTCTCTGTTCCCAAAACAAAGTTAACCCAAATTCTCAAAGTTGCCCTATCTCCTCTTTGAGAGAAATGCCCACTTTTATCTCCCACCTTGCCCTGACTAATGTCTTTCCACTCAATAACCCTCCTCAAATTCAATTGTGACTTGCTAATAACATTTTTCCTATTTTTATATCTACCTGTCTCAGTACCCACACCTAAATTCTCTTCATTCTAGCCTATCTCCTCCAATAAAAATTCTGGATTTTTCCTGCCCTAAACATACACTAAGCTCAAAACCCAAATTATTTTGATTTATCATTAGTTTTTCTTACCAAGTGCCCTGTGTACACACTACACTATGTGCCTTTCCTCCCACTAGATAGCCATGTCATAAGACTTCAGTTTTAATTTGTGCTACACTAAAGTTCAGATGTGACTGGACAGACCAAGCCAGATACTTTTTTAAAAAAAGATTTATTTATTTATTCATACAAGAACTGGGGTACAGGCCCAGTTGGGTACAGTCTGGGGTACAGACTGACTGAAATACACAGCTGAGGGGAGCAGCGGGTGAGTCAGGAGAGGTCTGCTGTGCCATGTGGGTAGCTCCATGGCCAACCAGGGATCGAACTCGTGCTGCAGAAGCTGCGGATAGCTTCATAGTGCTGTGCTTAACCCCTTGTGCCACCAGAGAGTCCCAACCAAGCCAGATATTTTCTTTGTGGGATTCAGCAGGCAGGGCCTACCACCGTCCACATCAAGGATCACCCCTCTGGTGACATTTGCAGTTAACTTGGAGGCAAAGGATTACAACTCAAAGAGTGACAGGCATTAGTGGATATGATAGGGTAGTTATGGGTTTTGTCCTGAATTGTGGCATACATTAGTTTGGAAATATATCTGTAGATTCTAATTTTTTCAAGTTGTTTACGAACATGTTCCTATTAGTTTAAATCGGGAAAGAGGGCCTCCCTGGTGGCACAAGGGGTTAAGTCAGCCTTGTGACACTGTGCAGCCTCTGCAGTGTGAGTTCAATCCCGGCTAGCCAGGAAGCTACCCACATGGCGCAGCAGACCTCTCCTGTCTCGCCTGCTGCTCCCCTCAACTGTATTTCAGTGGATCTGCCTATTCTGTTTCCTACTCTGTCTCTGGTGAAGCCTCTCACCTTCCATACCTGTGGCCTATTCCCCAGTTCTTTGTATGCATAAATAAAGAAAATATTTTAATAAACAAACAAGCAAATAATTAAATAAATTAGGAAAGAACTATCATTTCTTCATTTAAAAATTATAAAATCTCCTTGTAGAAAAACTGAATGAGTAGACACACAATGTTTTATTATATAATCTGCTTATATAATATCAGATAATCTATCGAACATTGTTCTAGGTATTACCATGATCACACACCATAGAAATTCCTAGAGACAATAACTATGCACATTTTGCGTAGCTGAGATCATACTATAGCTAGGTGTCCTGATATTAGCACTTAACCTTATTTCATAATTATTTCCTGTGATTAAAATATTGACAGACATTATTTTTAATAATTCTAGCTGTTCTCCCTGGACATTTAAATCTCTTTTAAATTTGAATATTGCTGATTTTTATCCATAACTATTAATTGTATTGCCAAAGGATGCACTCATAACCCTAAAATAAGTAATAGAATTGTTATTGGTAAGTTACCTAAAAATATTTCAAATAGTCTAAATATACAACATTCTACCAAGGTTTCCCAACTTTCAGTAGTCAGTTTTTAATTCTTTCATGTTTCATAGATTTTATGAGTTTATCTTAAATTTAAATTTTTTGAGTCTAATTTTCAGTCACAATTACAATATGATTCTGAATTACTAAGTAATTCTCTTTAGTTAAAATATTTCTTAAGCCCGCCAGGCATTTCATTAATTAATTTAGAAAATAACCAGTTGATTTATATTCATATCTCAGTGGTAGAATAAATGCACCTTGATAGAGCGATATGATCATTTCGTTGCCTGAAACAGTATCTGACACAGACTAGAAATTCAGTAGATCTTGGATTAAACTGCATCTTTTGCCACCAAAAGCATGAAATCATTATATGTAATGCTCTTAACTGGCATAATTCAGTTCTGATGTTATAGAACACATCATGTGGCATGTCACAGTAGAGTTAAGATATCTCCTAATGGGTTATGGTTCAACTTAATTGTGAGGTAACTAACAACATTAAATCATAAAGTAAATAAATGTTTAAATATTATTTCCATTCAAAAATTTTGTGATTTTTTAAAAATAAACAGTATTCATAGATAAACTTTGACTTCAAACTTTATTAATAATGCTTTATTAATATATGCTTTTTAAAATCATGTTGGTGATTATATTGGAGAAAAATCAGCATTTCCTATGTGAGTCACAACTTTAATGAAAAGCAAGTGAAAAATAAATGGATACTGCTTAATATTGCATTGGTTTCATAGGGTTGCCATCACAAATTACCACATATTTGGTGGCTGAATGCAACAGAAAGTTCTCACAATTCTGAAGGTTAGCTATATGAGATTAAGCTGGGCTGTGTGATCCCTCTGAAGGTTAGACGGGAGACTCCTCCCTCACCTTTTTCATTTTCTGGTAACTCCAGTCATTCCTTGACTTGTGGCAACTGGACTCCAATCTCTTCCTTTATGTTTGGGTGGTCTTCCCTTTTCTCTTCTCTCCATCTCTGTGTTCTACCTGTATCTTGTAAAGAACTCGTCTTTGATTTAGGATCCACCATCTGACACAGAATGACCTCATCCAGAGATTCTTAACTTAATTATGTCTGCAAATATCCTTTTTCCAAATAAGATCTCATTCACAGAGGTTTGGATATGGGCATATCTTTTGGGGGGACCACAATTCAACCCACAGTAATCGTTGTTCCATCACATTAAATATTAGAAGTTGCTCCACTGACAATTGCAAACTGGATTTTGAGAGGCTTAAAAATTAAAATCTTCATTAGTACCAAACAATTTTATGTGTGAATTTGTAAATGAAAAGGATAAATAAGCACAGATGGAAAATGGTGTGAGGAGATTGGTTGGATAAGATACTTAGAACCAAAAGTAATTTAAATATATTTAAGAATACTAGGTAAGGCGGATTGAGATTAAAAATGGAAAGACATTAGTTTGCCAAAAATATGTTTTTGCAGACATATAGTATTACAGACCTTCTTTATATATTTATATAGCAATTTAATAGGAGCCAAAAATGTGGTCAATATCAATGGAACTTTTCTCTTTTAAATTGGCATGACTTTATGTGTAAACTGACCGGGTTTCACAGTTACTTAACTGTATTTAAATTGGGAGGACTACTGAGACCCCCTAAATCCCCCCATTTTTTGTTAATTTTGATACACAAAAGTCTAGCTGTACTGTGCTATGTGGTCAGAAATGGAGCCCACACCAGTTACTTGAAAATGTGATGACTGAATGAAGTTAGTTCTGCTACATGTATTTCTAAATGTTATTGAAGGTTTCACACTGTCTCTTTTAATAATCTGCAAAAAGCGTTTTTACTGAAGGGGGTTTCTCTTCAGTAGAACACTGGGGGTGATTACAAAGCTCATACAAAACGCTGAAAAAGAAATCCAAAGGTAAGCTTTTCCAAATTGAATGCTTGCCTATCAATATGTGCTGAGTCTTACGAGATCTCTTTTCTCCCTGCCACAATGCCTCACTCCTACCCACAGCTCTGTAATCATAGCTAGTCCTTTTAAGGTCAGCGAGTCATATTATCTGTGCAATAAATACCTTGGAGCTTTTCTGCTTACAAAGCCTGTGATAGCCTGATTCCCTTCTTCTCCCCTCAGACACGTTCCCTTGAAGTCTCCAATTCCTCACCGTCCCGTAGCTTTTCTCCTTCTCTGCCTGACTTTATGCAGCTTTTATTCCAAAACTGTGATTGTTAACAAGCAGAACCTCACAGAGGGTTGCTCAAATAAAGATTGAGAACATTATGTTGCAGAGCTCCAGGGCTCCCTTTATGTGGCTTCCCCCTCTTTTCAAAGTTTTCTTTTTCCTTTCCATTAGTCTCTGTAAAGTGACCTCTGCAGCTGATTCTTGGTTTATATGACTCTCATCACCATTATCTGTGATGCCAATTCCCAGACCACTTCCGTGTTGTCAACTTTCATCCATGTTCTCTTGCTCTCTTCCGCTCAATGCTCTGATTGGTTGACTTTGAGTCAAGTGCTCAAAATTTATTCAGTCACATCTGCCAAGCAGTGCCCCACCCCTCTGCTGCTGTGGGAGCTATTAAATACAGGGTATTTCCCTCTCTCCATTCTGCTTCTCACACACTTCCATCTTTTGGACTTTGCTGCCAATCACCCCATGAATTTTTCTCCAAGAACATCTATGTTGATTTATCAAACAATTTTTGCTTCCTGGAAGTCTTATCATTTGCTGCTTTTTGTGCTGCAAACTAGAATGTGTGTTTGTTAAAAAAACTGACATATCATATTTTACTTCCTGTGCTCATTAAATTTTTAAAACTATGGTTCAGACTGATTACATTGACTGTTTATTGGTCAGATACTATTTTGCATTTAGACAAGTTAGACTTTTCATCAACAACAACAAATTCCCCTTTTAATGTTTTGAACTGCACAAAATAAAGATTTTTTTAATTTTATATTATTTTTTACATTATTTTTCAATTTTGCACAATGTATGATTTTTTTTTTTTTTTGGGTGGGATCCTCTCCGGCGGCCAGGGAATGAACTAGCGCAGCGGAGGCTGCGGGCAGCCTCCGCAGCCCAGCGCTCAACCGCTGCGCCACCAGGGGAGGCCCACAATGTATGCATTTTCATTTGGTTATAGTCCCCATACAATTCCCACCACCCTTGTTTTGATCCTATTCCCTTCCCCCACGCGCCCCCCCCCCCCCGCCAGTCCCCTGTAGTGTGTCTCTGGTTTATAGTTGCTTGTTGATTTTGATTTTTACTTTATTATAATTAGTCTTTTTCCTGGTCCCTTATTTAGATTTTCTAAATTTCTGCTATGAATGAGACCATCCGGTATTTTTCTTTTTCTTTTTCTGCTTGTTTTGCTGAGCAGCTCCATCCATGTTGCTGCAAATGGCATGAGTTTATCTTTTTTGATTGCTGAGTGATATTCTGTTGTGTATATGTACCACATCTTCTTGATCCAGTCATCGATTTTGGGGCATTTGGGTTGTTTTCACAGCTTATCTATTGTAAATAGTGCTGCTGTAAATGAGACTCAATAAAAACAAAGTAAACAACCCAGTCAAAAAATGAGCAGTTAAAAAGAAACTTCTCCAAAGAGGAAATGCAAATGGCCAACAGGCATATGAAAAAATGTTCAACATCACTTGTAATCAGGGAAATGCAAATTAAAATTACAATGAGATACCATCTTACACCAGTGAGAATGGCACATATTAAAAAGATTTCTTTTAAATCACATATCAATGTGCCAGATTTCTACCAAATATTACCTTTTATCACTTGTTCTGAAAAGTCAACTGTGATATAAAGAAAGCACAGTAATCACATTTTTGGGTCGCTGAAAGCAGAAAATTTGCCAGAAACAAATTCATAATGTAGCTCTTCCATCTCTCTGGTGAGCATCCCCAGTGCTGGCAGGATCACCATCCCCCTAAGTGGATGAAATTTAAAAGTTTTTCTCCATGAGATCACACTATAATGGAAGGTGCCTCCTGCTATCATACTTTTAAGATTATCCTCAATTCATATTATTGATGCTGATGTTTCACAGAGCTCTCAACTTTGGTTTAATTTCTTTGTCTGAGAATCTCCCAAAGAATTGCATGTAAGATTCATCAGTAGCAAGGGCAATTCTAACTCACACATTGCCTTTATACAAACTATAAAAGACATCTTTTGGGCCTCCCTGGTGGTGTGGCAGTTGAGCGCTGGGCTGGGAGGCTGCCTGCAGCCTCTGCAGAGCCAGTTCGATCCCCGGCCACCGCCTAAGGGTCCCGCATGGCACGCAGACCTCTCCTGCTGCCCGCTGTTCCCCTCAGCAGTATACTTCGTCAGTCTGCCTGCTCTGCTCTCCCCTCTGGCTCTGGTGAATTCTCTCACCCTCCTGTGCTTCTGACTGTACCCAGTGCTTGCATAGATAAATAAATAAATCTTAAAAAAAAAGACATCTCTTATGAAAATTATAAAATTGTTATAATGTGCGGATTTATTACAAGACCTTATAAATACCTGCTGATATTTTGCTGTAATCAGTATAAAAAACTATAATGGTTATGTGGAGATATGTGCAGTCTACAACCTGTCTTATGATACTCAGTTCAGTGACACCATAGAACTATATCACTTAACCCCCAAAGTATATCAATGTATGTTCTGAAAGCAGATTTTGAGAATAAGGATACAAAGGTACAACAAGAATACCCTAGTGGACAGTGGTCATCATGGTCAGTGGTAAAGAACAGACTGGAAACAATGCCTCCTTCATAATTGCACCAAATTACCATTGAATTACACAGAGAAGGCATTTGACAGATTATCTTTAGAAAATTATTTCAGATATCACTAAATGCACTGTGCTTCCATTCTAAGAGTTTGCAATCAAATGATCAGATGAATTAAAACATGAAAAAACACCACAAGAAAGATTATTTATATTGCCTTCTATTAAGTTTGGTAAACAGTCATAAACAAAAATCTTTTTTTATTTATGGGAAAAGAGGGTGTTTAGAGTCTTAAAAGTAAACAAAGATACTTGAGAGATTTTTTGAATTATTTTTAAGATGTTACTTTTGGGGCATAAGAAAATAAACAGTTTGATTGTGTTGTGTTACATCTATTTAATTTATTAAAAGAGAAAAACTGAGCAGAAATAAGTTAACCTAGGAATGGAAATAGTTATTGGTGATCTGTAATTTGCAAGGGAAAGCAAATTCTACAAAGAAGTAGTGACAGGGCCTTCACAGAGATCATCAATTTAAAATGAGGTCAGTAGGATTAATCCAATGACTGGTGTCCTTAGAAAAAGAACAGGTACACCTGGAAGAAGGCAATATGTGGCTAACAACAGAGTTGGAGTGATGCATCTACAAGTCAAGGAACATCAAAGTTGACAGTAAACAGTCAGAAGCTAAAGAAGAGGTGTAGAACAAATTCTCTCTCAGATGGAACCAAATGATGTAGGGTTCTGTTTAGAATCATCACTATTTATGTTATTAGATTTGCAAGGTTTGGATAATCATTTCCAAAGTCCATCCTGAGGTGTTCTAATATATCTCATTTCTTTTGTCAGCAATATATTTTTGGGGAGAACACTGTCATCACACCATCAGTATTTAAATCATCACAGCACCTCTGTTCTTACTGACTCTAGGTCATTTGGCCTGCAGCCCCCACCCTACTCCACTCGTCTGATTACTACATACCCATCCTTATCAGGGTCTTGGATGTTCCTTCTCCTCAGACTCCTACTTTTGAATTATGGCATCTTGTTACATGTTCCCTTGCCCTTGGCCCGACATAGCCTGATCTCACTGTTTGTAGTTGTGCATTTACTGTCTGAACAACTCCTACAAACAATTCAAAGGCAATGGATAGATTTACTCATTAGCACCTAATACAGTATCTGACTTCCAGAAGTCAAGTCAGAATATTTGTTGAACGAAATAATTAAAAATGCATGACTCCATTCTCACATTTACCAAATTGTGGGATTGCTTATGTGAATCACCCATTATACAGATAGCTTGTCTGAAAAGAAGGCAGAGTTCTGTCTAACATGTCTTTGTGAGCTTGAGTGCTCAGTACAGTTTGGTGACATACAGACAGATGATGAAGAAATAAATGGGAACCAGTATCCCTGATGAGACTTCTTTATGTCATTTTTTCATCATGTTTCTTGGCATTGGAGCTCAGAAGGAAGGAGAAGAACTGATATTTGGTTAGCTTCTTGGTTTGTTCTTACCACTCATGACCTGTGGACAAAGCATAGCAATTTGCCTTCCAAATATTTATACCACTGGGCCTCCCCTGGTTTCTCAGCAGTTGAGCGCTGGGCTGCAAAGCTGCCTGCAGCCTCTGCAGTGCTGGTTTGATCCCCGGCCACCGGTGAGGGTCCCACATGGCACAACAGACCTCTCTTGCTGCACCCGCTGCTCCTCTCAGCAGTATATTTTGTCAGTCTGCCTGTTCTGTTCCCCACTCTGGCTCTGGTGAATTCTCTCACCCGCCAGTGCTTCTGACTATACCCAGTGCTTGTAAATAAATAAATAAATCTTAAAAAAACAACAACTAATATTTATACCATCAAGGTTCTTAGTAGTCTCTTGTTTTGCTTCATTGTTAGAAAGATGACTTAGAGAAGAAGAAAAGATGCCCTTGGGGAAGGACGAGTAAAGTTGCTTCTTTCTGTTTGTTTGGAGAGTTACATGGGATTCCTGAAACAGGTGGTAAAACTAATTCTTTCATAAATATTGAAAACTGCTGGTTTTATATATCAGCTTGCATTGCTGCACTACCTCAGCATGAGATATGAATATAATTTATGTGTGGTTCTAAATAGCAGCAATTCCCTGGATATTCTAGAATCATTTTATAGAGTTGAAACATGTTTAGTTTTTATTTGTAATTAAAACTGCAAGAATTCTTTATTAACTATTACTCACACTTCAGTGGTTCTCTAAATATTTCTAGGGCCTCTGGTGATGACTGCTAGGCAGGTGCAGATGAACATGAAGTAATGTGCATATATAAGCACATTTTGATAACTGAAAGCTTTCATGTGCTCAACTAAAGTTCAAACAACTTGGAATGAAGAGGCGGAACCAGCAAGTTCTCAAAATGCTGCTGGAGGTAGGATTTTGACAAGGTCAAACGGAGTTTATTACTTAACAACTCAGTGGTTTCCGCTCAAATCTTTAATAAGAGAAACATAATGTGTAATTTCTCCCTTGGAAAACTGTTTCACTCTTTATATCTTTGGCATACCATCCCCAAATCTGGTTTCCAAAAAGATTTGGTTGATTTGCATATGAAACTGTCAGGCAAAAGCTCTGGATTCACAATCCATCCTGGTGATGTGATTGTATAACTGATTGGTTTCTGTACTGAGAGGATTCTAGACTCAGTTCCTGATTGAGAACTTTTTAACATTTTCTAAAAAAATCAAATCCAATTCTGAGAAGCTAGCAGGTTGGTTTTAGGCTCTGTTGCTTTATGAGACTGTCATTGGATATCACTTTTATGATCTAACAATGTACATGATCTCTCTGTGATCATAGAAATTTATAGGGAGCTGGGTGTTCCCGATGCTGAATTAATTTGTCTTTGTATTTGAGAGTAATGAACCTTTGGGGTACAAGTTAAGAGTTTGGGAGAAAACAAATTCTCTCTGTACATTTCTAAATCAATATAAAAGGTAAAATATATTTATTAGATTTTTTTAAAGATTTATTTATTTATATAAGAACCAGGGTACAGTTCAGATGCACAGGAGGGTGAGAGGATTCACCAGAGACAGAGCGGGGAACAGAATAGGCAGACTGTTGAAATACACTGCTGAGGGGAGCAGCTGGCGCGACAGGAGAGGTCTGCCGCGCCATGTGGGGCCCTCGCCAGCCGGCCAGGATCGAACCAGCACTGCAGAGGCTGTGGACAGCTTCACAGTGCTGTGCTCAACCGCCTGCGCCACCAGGGGAGGCCCTATATTTTTTAGATTTTTAAGCTTCCTAAAGGAAGGCAACTGTGTCTTCAGTCATTCATAAGTAGCTGCTGTGTATTTGAGATGTGTCAGCCATTGTGCTAAATTCTCAAAAAATACAAATAAAACACAGAAACAATAACTACACTCAGAGTCACTATATATGAATTTGCCATCTAAAGTGAAAGACATGGTGCAGCAAACCTCTCCTGTCTCACCCGCTGCTCCCCTCAGCAGTGCATTTCAGTACATCTGCCTCTTCTGCTCCCCACTCTGTCTCTGGTGAATCCTCTCACCCCACCACACCTCTGGCCTGCACCCTCCCATTCTTGTATGCATAAATAAAAATAAGAAAAATGGTAAGACAGAAACAGATAATTACACTTATTTTAGTGATACTATCCTCAATATGTGTAGCTGGTATAATGATAATACAATTCATCCAGGAGCATGTGTGTATGAGCTGAGTGAGTCTTGTAGGTAGATGACTGAGCAAAACCACATGTGGGGGTAAGAAAGAGTTTTGCTGGCAAAGGGAAACTGTGAGCTGTTTTGTGTTACTATTGCCTTAATCATGGGTTAGCAGCCCATTCTAGGGTCAGATCTTGGTGGATATTATGTGACAGGTTAATGACCTTAAATTTCTCTCGTAAGCAAAGGAGAATCAGTGGCATGAATCAATTTTTCCTTTAAACAGTTTGCGCTGATGATTCTGCTCAAGGTCGGACTGTGACTTGCAAAATAGAGGCAGATAGACTGGAAGGACATACTTTTTCAAGACACCAGCAACATGGGCCTCCCCGGTGGCGCAGCAGTTGAGTGCTGGGTTGCGAAGCTGCCCGCAGCCTCTACAGTGCCGGTTCGATGCCCGGATGCTCCCCGGCCTCCGGAGGAGGGTCCCACAAGGCGCGCAGACCTCTCCTGCCGCCCGCTGCTCCCCTCAGCAGTGTACTTAGGTCCTTCTGCCTGCTCTGCTCCCCGCTCTGCCTCTGGTGAATTCTCTCTTCAACATATCCGATTGGTATTTAGATATGCTAGTCTACATATCAGGAGAGTTGTCTAAACTGAATACTTAGACTTTGGTAGTTGATACTATGAGAGTTCTCAGAGGGAAGGGGAAGGCAGTGCCAGTAAGTAGAAAATGAAGGCTGAGAATAGGCATATTCAGAACACCAACATCAAAGAACAATATGTCTATATATCTAGGCATTCTCAGGACTTGGTAAATATGAACTTTTCAATAAATAAAAATGAATAAATTGTCCATAAATAAATTATGAATACATGAATGAGAGATAAATGGTAGAATTAGGTAGAGTTCTAAGGTAGTAGTCCTCATCCCTGAGTACACAATGGAATCACTGAAGAGCCTTTTGAAAAATAGCAATGCCTAAGCCCCTCTGCTCCTTCTACTATTAAAACAGAAATCTGATTTACTTTTTCTCAAGTGGGACCTAGACACGTGTGGGTGTATTTTTAATTGTGAATGTGTTCTCAATGTGCATACAGGGTCCAGAGTTACTGTGCTAGAGGAAATAGGAGTCCTATGGAGAGGGTAATGAGGAGGTGGAAGTCCCCACTGGAGGAATCAGAAAGGAGCCAAGAGAAAGTCGAGAAATGTAGTTTCAGGGGAAGAGGGAATATGTTCCATAAAATATGAGGTAAAGATCTTGGCCCAAGAAAGAAATAGATATAAAGAGTTGGATTAAAAGGAGATACTGATATGGAAATCGGTCCACATTCCTCCAGCATTGACTCACGTGTATGAAGCTTAGGTCCTGCCTAGTATGAGCATTGGGAGCTTACGGATTCCAAGTATGGGTTTATCCTGTGAAAGCCAAGAAGTACACAGATATTGATGACAAAGGTTCTGATTGCCCACTTGGAATTACCCACAGGACAACCTTTACATATTTTTACTGATACACAGATGTCATTATGAGAATGCTACCTCTCATACTTGGTTGTGGGCATAACAGTGATGAAGTTGAAGTGCTGAGGATTTCATCAAAATGCTTCAAGTTTTCTTCAAATATTGGAATTATTCTGTTCTAATCAATATATTACTTATGTGGCTTGGAACTTGTGCTATTAGCTAAATGCATTCTGAAGGTTTCGGGATTCTGCTGTTAAGTAAATGGCTAGAATGTCACTCTGAAAAAGTAAATAATTTTGTGTGAAAAGAATTTAGTTCATTGCTCAATATTGGAATAATCTGGTAAATGAAAGAGAGAGAATCAGGGATAAAGAGCCTGCACCCGCAGGAATATATTATGAGCAAGCACAGAACCATACATTCTAATCATTCTCTTTTGAAAACACTGACCCAGTTAGATGTGGCTCACCTGAGACATATGTGGATTGTTCATTATATTAATTATCAGCTTTGGATATTAGAAACTGCCTCAAGACTATGATATAGAACAGGAGAACCTTGTGTTCTCTGTTGTCCTTCATTCTGAGTCTTTAATAAATACCAGACCATTAGGATGTGCCCTCTGATTTGTTCTTTTGCTGAAAGTCTCAGGTTAATCATTATCCCAACCTGGATTCACTTGGGTGCCTAAGTTCTTGGCATCTCTGCCTCAAATTATGAGGTTGACTAGTAGGTGGGGGAAGTAGTCTGAGATAACAAGGCCTAAAACATCATGACCATATTGTCCAATTCCAGAGGAATGGCTTGGCTTGCACTTTAGAATATACCTGACTCCCAACAACAGGTCATTTTGCATAAATATACTGATGAGCTTTATTAATGACTGTTATAACCAAGGAGCTCCCATTTTCTCAGAAATTCTAGATTATGTCACTCATATGTGCCTGGAAGCCATGAATCATTAATATACTAGTTGCTTCATAAGCAATGGTATAAACTTAAATACTATCTTCATTTCTTCATTTACTCATTCATTCAGTATTTCTGGATGTCAGTAAATATTATGTGTACTATGTGTCAGATTTCAGTTAAACACTGAAGATAAAAAGGTGAACTCAAAAGGACATGAGCGTGTTCTTACGCAATTTTGAAACTAGTGACAATTGAGTGGTGGGTGAGGAGGTAATTAATTGAGTAGTGCTATAATAAAAACATTGTTATATACTCATGCAGGTCCTCCTAAGGAAACAAATTCTCATGAGGAATATTAGAAATGTGACCTACTCATGGGATTCTGAAAAAGTTTCTTTGAGAAATTGAGTGTGGAACTAAGATGTGAAGGATGGGAAAAGAGGACTAGGTTTGCTCTCATCATTGCTTTGGCATGGGTGTACATTGTAAATCATGAGTTGAATTTTGAATGTGTCTTGGAGTCCTAAGAATAGATGTTCTACAATACAGCCTTAACAATGACTTTTGAAATTCCTTCCTGATACCCTGATACCCTCACACACAAGCCTCAAAGAAGTGGTTTTTCCATGGAGGAACTTCCCCTTCTGTAGCTTACTTCAGCTGTACCCGAGGGCTGGCTACATTCCTATACCAATGAACATGGTTTGCCTCTCTAGGACGTTGGCTTTCCCCTAGAACTAGGAAATGATGTGGTTCTCTTTCTCCAAATTTATATGTATATATCTATACATTTTATTCTGCCGTTGGTTACTGTGGCTTTAGGTTCCATATGGTGCAGTCAGAGAAATCCTGGTTATATAGATCTGTTCCCAAATGGACTTTGCCATATTAGCTATGTGGTTTGGCTATTGTGATTTCTCTTCATCAATATTTCCTCTTTTATGAGAGAAATAGTTGAACTAGATAGTCTAGTAAGAGTCCGCCTGCATCTGATGTTTAGTGATTCTAGTTATCATCTCAATCAAATGGTTTGGGAAATGGAGAGAAGTACAGTCACATTTAGTTTGCTCACCCATAAGGACCTTAAATTACCTACCCTACATTTATCAACCCTTAATCGGGATATTTATCATTTACAGCAATTAAAAAATGGTTAACTTTGATTCACAGGCTGTGGATACAAACCTGTGATGTTCTATTGAAAAGGATTCTGGTGCATTGTCTTGGCTGGGAGAGAAAGTGCCGTAATTGATTGGTGATGTCTGTCACTGGGATGGGAAGTGGAAGCATCTTAAATGTATACCTTGTCATTCCAGTTCTGAGATCTGCTATCTTTCTTTGCCCTGTGGGTAAATGAACCTT